TTCCTACAGTTCCGTTCTTTTTCTTTGTTTTTCCTGGGAGCTTTTTTGAGTGTGTCATCTGGACCTCCAAGAATGGGTCTCGCTTGTCATAGGATGGATGAAACGAGGCAATGCTATAATTTGTTAAAAAAAAAAACCTGTGAATGATGGAAGGAAGGCTTGGGGGGAGGGCATCCCGAGGACCCTGGGGCTGGAGAAGGTGGGCTTTCTACTCTCTTGTTTTACTGGGGTCCAGGAGGGAAGGCCCCAGAATGTACTGGGTTGTTAATTTATTTAAATGATTTTATCTATTTGGGAATGAATAATGATACAAAATCCAAAAAGTGCAAACCACTATGTAATGAAAAACAATGGGTCTTAATTTTCTGCCCTGGGCAGCCAGTTCCCTTCCTTGGTGGCAAGCTATCAATTTCTTGTTCATCTCTATGGAAATGTTCTTCTTCTGTCTAGTTTTTTTTTTTTTTTTTTTAAACACAGATAATATACTGTACATACTCTTCTGTACCTTATTTTCACTTAAGAATTTATCTTGGAGATTCTTTGTAGTACATGTAATGCTCTTTTTCTCTTTTAAATGACTTATACTATTTCATGATAAGGATATGCTATCATTTCTATAGCTGGGCCTCAGCCTTTGGAGAATTAGTTGATTTCCAATCCTTTGTGGTTGTAAACAGTGCTGCAACAAATCTTTGAACATATATCCTTTTGCATTTCTACAAGTATATGTGTAGGCAAATTCCTAAAATCAGAATTGGTAGGTCTAAGGGGGCATGTATTTTTAATACTGATAAACGTTAAATTCTTTTCCATAATGCCATCAGCATTGATGCTAGGGCCTGATTTCTCACATCCTTGCCAACACAATGGAGACACTGAATTTAAATTCTGGCCAAGGAGATTAAGAGTTGCTGCTGCCTCTTTTTTTCTTCCTTCTTTTTTTTTTTTTTTTTTCCATTTCCTTAAGAAAAAAATCCCCGGATGCTTAGAGGTAAGCATCCTGCTACCCAATTTGCATCTGAAAATGCACAGATGCAATTCTGTGCACACAATTCTTTCACTTTACATTTTGTTTTTTTAGTTGGATGGAGCTGAAGACCTGAGAGAATTTCTTTGCGCGACTCTAGAGGAGAAAAAAGAACTAAAAGTTAAAGAAGTTCATTGTGGTTTATTAGCTTTATAGGGCTTCAAAAATTCAAGGCTTTTAAAATCCGCACAAAGGGGTTTTTATTGTTTGACACTTAGAGCTGAGGGCGTCCTTATGGCCAGCAGGGGGCAGCATGTCTCCACAGTGTCAGGCTGAGCCTTATCAGCGGATTGATCGAGCTCCATCACCGAGACTTAGAACCCCGTTCTGTCAGAAGTGCTAATTCACTTTGTTACCTTCACTGTCAACTCACGGCTGAAAACAGGCTGGAGTGCCTCAGTACAGAACAAGGCTTAGCTGAAAATCCGGATAAGTTAAAATGTTAAAGGCCAGCCAGATCTAGGGTGGCATGAAATATGGGGGAAAGATATTGTGAACGTAAATAAGACTAGCACCATATTGTAGAATAGAATTTAAATGAAATATTTGATTATCCCAGCTACCATTTCTGGCATAAAGCACATCTTCTGTTCTCCTAGAAATAGGATTTATTAGTTCACCTTAAAAAACAAATTAACCTGCTCCTTTAATATGAGTCTGTTGAACCAGCAAATACTGATTGAATGCTAGGTGCAGAGGCTATGAGGTCGAGAAGACATGGTCTCCACTCTTGTGGGCAAAGCAGAGAATGCCTGGGACCTGGGTCAGGATGCTGTGGTTCTAGCTTTAGGTGAGGCACCATAATTGGCTGTGTGGCCTTAGGCAAGTTACTTCTCTGTCCCTCGGAAATGTAAATGAAACTAATGCCACCGACCTCAGTGACCTCATAGGTGCACATAAAAATGCCACATGCAAAGATGCTTGGAAAAAAAAAAAAAAAGAGAGAAAGGACTATACAAATGAAACATTTAAAAACCCACATGATAATGGATATGCCCTGTAGCAATAGAAGCGGCGGGCAGCTTAGTGAGTCCTTACTGTGTCCTGGGCACTCTGCTAACCATACACATTATCTCAGTAAAACTCACACTCCTGTGAGCTGGGAATCAATTGCCAGGTGAGGAATTCGTGGTGTAGGGACGTTGGGAAGCTCGTCCAAAGTCAGGCTGTTCAAGAGTGAAGAGGCCGGATTCTAATCCAGGTCTGACTCCGGAGTCTACTAGAAGGCGTGCCTGTCTGGCTCTTTACCATTCCTCACTGTTCTGCACTTAGAAATTGTACGTATTGCTCCCTTAATTGTACTCACAAGAGAACTAGCATCAAAAAGGTAGGTCCCATGCCATCTCATGAAAAAATGTTAAAATATAAAGTTATGACTTTCCACAAATAGCTCAGTTTATTTTATCATTTGGTTTCGAGATCATTCCGTGAAATAATTTCTCTGTAACAACTGGAAATTGGAGGGACACCTGGCTGGCTCATTTAGTAGAGCATGGGACTTCTGATCCTAGGTCGTGAGTTCAAGCTCCATAATGGGTGTGGAGCCTACTTTAGAAAAAAAAGAAAAAAAAAAGGAAATTGGACGTGTATCTTAGGAAAAATTCTAGGAGAACTGATGAGATTCACAATTTAGTAGCATGAGCAAAGAATCCCAGAGGAATTCAGGGAGATTTCTTGCGTTTCCTGCCAAATAGGAAATCAGGTGTGGTGGGAATTTGTGAGGACGGCTTTCCAGGAGGGCTAAGTCTCCAGGGTCCAGAACTGCCAAAGCCCTGGGCCACACCCCCTGTAGGATGCCCAGGGGAACCGCTAGGCAGATGTGAAAGGCCTTGCTTTGTGAATTAGGCAGTCTCATTAGCTGGTGATGAAGTGGCTCCCAAAGCAGAGATCCCAAGTGCCTGGCCAATTTTGGGTCCTATTTGATGCTTGTTATTGCTTCCACAAATCACACAGATGCAAAGAAGGTGTGTACATTTTGGTTCCTGGGACCTTCCTTGCGTGCGAGAGCAAATTGCACCTGAGAGCTCCCAGTAGAAAATAGGCACTGATCTAAACACCTCATCCACAATAACTCTTCAATAACTAATAGCGTGCTTCTATTATCTCCATTTTACAGATGAAGAAACTGAGGCTTTCCCTGGCACAGTCAGGATTTGAACCCAGTCAGTCTGACTCTAGAGTCTGTATTCTTAATCATTGTTGTCCATTTCCTTAAATTAATAACAAAGAGGAGGGACGAGGCAGACGGGGAGGAGGAATAGGGAAAAAAAAAAAAAAGATAAAGGACATAATAAATGGGTCCTATGAATACCACCATTTAGTTCAATAAGCAGCTTCCGGAGAACCTACGAGCCCGGCCTTGGAACCAGGAACTTCTGAGCCACAGTCCATCCACACCCTGCAAGAAGAGTGGAGAAGCTGAACAGGTTATTTCTATACAACGTGGAAACACTAACGGGAAAGTCCACTGGGGCACGGCAGAAATTCCTGTGTGCCCAAGCACATACGGAAGGTGGAAAGTTACCGAGTTAAAGTGACTGACCATTAAGGCACAGACCAATTCAAAGACCCACTATTGTGGAGTCCATTGTCACTCCGCTTCCATAAAACTAAGCTTGTTTTTACAAGACTGTTCTGGAGAAGTGAAATTTAAACAAATTCACAGCCCTACTAGTAAGGTTTGGTCTCTGTTGTTTCCTTTAAAGACTGCAAAACACTCAGGCAAATTTAAAATACAAGGATTAAGTCCTGTAATAAAAAAAAAAATTTTGAGCCGAAAATAACTCCAGTAGTAACAGTATTTCTACTTGTGCTGTGTGCTTTAAAGTTTTTGCAGTAGAATGGTTGGAAAATACCTTCCACTAAAATCTGCTGAATGATGACTGATCTATTTGCGCCTGTTCATTCAATTGCCTAATGGCAGCTACGTAGAAGTAAATGCCTGTCCCAAAAGCTTTTGCTTTAAACGCCAGACGAGCAAGTGCTTTGCAACAGAGACCAAAGAAGTGTGAGCCCAGGTATTCCAGAGGGGCGGTGAATTCTAATGGGACCGCCAGAGAGGTTCCTGTTCCCTGCGTAGGGCCTGGGAGCAAATCCGCGTGGGGGAAGGTTAGCCGGACTTTTAGGGCCGGAGGGGGTGGGTCACCCCTCAGGGTGGGCTGTCGCCCGCTCGCCCCCGTCCGCCCGCCGCGGCAAAGAGGAGCGCCAGGACCCAAACCCGGTCGCTCGCGGCGTCCGGGCAGCGAGTCCGCGCCCGGAGGGCGGCTCCCCAACTCTCCGGAGGATGCGGACCCGGGATGCGCCCCAGAGCTCACACAGCGTGGCCGACGCAGGAGCTCGAAAAACAAAGCGAGTGGCTGGGCGGGCGCGGTGGGCGCGAGGCCGAGCACACACGTTGCTCCGAGCCCGGGCGCCGCCGACGAGCCCCGCCGACCAGCCCGGGTCCCCAGAGGACCCCCACAGTCCCCCTTCCTCCGCTGCAGGGATTTGAGGAACCCCGAGCCGAGGGAGTCCCCCGTCCCCGGGGCCCCTGCCGCGGTCGGAGCCGGGACTAAGGCTGCTCGCCGCGCGGGAGCCTCAGACTTTTCTTTCGGGGGTGTCTGTGGGGGGGGGGCGGTAAGATGGCAGGGCCGGGGAAACAAAGGAAACTTGGGCCGGGCCCCGGGAGCGGCGTGTGTGGCTCGCGAGTTCGCCCCGGGTCCTGTGTGGGAGTCGCCGGGCGCCTGTGCCAGCCTGCACGCAGTCGGCGCGGGGAAACATAAAGCAGCATGCCAGCAGCCGGCGGCGCCCTGCCGCCCTGCCGCCCACCTGCCGCGGCCCGGCCGCCCCGGGGTCTCCCGGGCGGCGGCGGAGGGAGGGGGCGCGGGGGAGCCCGGCGGGGGAGGGGGTGGGGAGGGCGGGGAGGCGGCCTGCGGGCGCGCGCGGGGGGCGGTGGCGACGGCGGAGGGGAGCGCGGGTGGGCGGGCGGCGCCACGTCACGGCTATTGTGGCTGTCCGGGTATATAAGGTCCCGCCGGCCGGTCGCGCTCCCCACCTTGCCTGCGCCCGCCCGGAGCCAGCGGTTCTCCACTCACCCCGCATCCAGTGAGACGCGCCGCGCACCGACGCCGACGGAGCGGACATGGGCAGAGCGATGGTGGCCAGGCTCGGACTGGGGCTGCTGCTTCTGGCGCTGCTCCTACCCGCGCAGGTGAGGCCCTGGCGCCCGCGGGGCTCGGGGGCCGCGCCTTGTGTGTGGGGGGGTCGGAGCCGCCCCCAGGGGACCGACCTGCGCCCCCAGCGCGGGCAGCCGAATGGGGTTGCGGAGAGAGAATCCCTCAATATCTGGACTGGGGGAGGGCAACGTGGAGCCCACTTTCCGCTCCCCCGGCGGGCTGCCCCCACCCTCCCGCGGCCCCGGGAACAATGCCCCTCCGCGCGTGGGCCGGGAGGCCCCTGCCCTGCCCCGAGTCCCAAGTGCAGCTCCTTCCCGGGCCGGCTGGAGCCCACCACCCGCTTTCTCCAGGAGGTCCGAGGCCCTGGCTTGAAAGAGAACGTGTCTTTCCCACCTCTGGAGCGTCCGGAGACCTCGGGCTGTCCCGGGAGGGCACCCCGCTTCCCTCCAGGAATGTCTTCGCGCCCCCTGCGCACCACACAAAGAGGGGACGATCCCCTTCGGGGAGCCGCTCTCACCCATCCTCCCCTTAGCTGGCTCGGGGATCCCGAGGAAGCCCTGGCTTTCGGGCCCTGTTAACCCACCCCAGTCCCGCGTAGTTCCCGGCTGAAGCCTGGGCGGGGACCCGCTCTTCGCCCTGCGCTCTCCCGGGTCCGACCTTAAATTACACGTCCATCTCTTGTCACCTGGGAACCCCGTGGTAGCTCCCATCGGCTACCTCTGGGCAGGCGGCGGGTGGGACGTTGCCGTCCCGAGTCGAGTCCCCGGCAGGCTTTGTCCCCATCGCCGCCGCCCCCTCCCAGATTCTCTATCCCGGGAACCGATTTCGGGTCAGCGCGGTTAACGAGGACTGCGCTGTCCCGCAGGTGGCTGCGCGGCTTCCTCGAGGGAGGCTGGGGGCTGAGCCTGGGAGAACCGAGCGGGGTGGGGGGCGCGAAGGGGGCGAGAAGGGTCAATTTTTTCCAGTAGCTCACTCTCGGAGGGCAGAGGTGGGAACGTGGGGCTCCCCGCCTCTTACAATGGGGCTTTATGAGGAGTGTCTCCTGAGCTTTTCCTCCGAGAAGTTGGGTGCGACGGGTCTTTGATCGCCCAGACAGCCGCCGTGCTCACCTGGAAGCGCAGCCGGAGAGCGAAGCGCTCCTCCGCTTCCCCTCCACGGGCCGGGTAACTGTACCCTATTGTCTTGCGGGTCGGCTGCGCTCCCGAGCCTTTCACAATTCCAACGTGGGGGAGGGGCGCGGCCGCAGAAAACTGATCTCCCTCACCCGCACCCCACCTCCTTTCCGACCAGATTTCCCCCACCCCAAAATTTCAAGAGGGAGGTTTTAGGTAAGCAAATCTAGTTTGGTAGGGACATTTTTATTTAATGTCAATTTCACATATTAACATTAGTTTCTTTTGTTGGTGTAGAGGACCTTTAGATTCTCCTATAGATGCACTAGGCTCTGTGACAAAGGTCACCCGCTGCACTCACACTATAAGGTCTTTGTATACATGAGAACAGATAACCTATAAGGCATCCCAAACCAGGTATTGTCCCTAAACAGCTCTGGTTTAGATAATTTCCCGTATTATTAATGCTTTACTTTCAGGGAGTGCCATTTCCTGGCAGGACAGGCTGAATGTTGCACACAGTAGGTGCTCAGTAAGCATGTTGGACTTGACCAAGATTTTTCTTTATTTTGGGTAGGATTTATACATTTTAAGCCCATATTTGCTTAATGATGGGTTTTACAACAAAGGGAGCTGATGCTGCTATAGAATGGATTTATCTTTGGATCATCGGCAGCAAAATGGACATGTGGCCCAGACCTGCCTGGTGCCACATCCTCCCTCCTGTCTGTAATCAGAAGCCCTCTTAAACCCTCCCTCTCAGGGAGAGCTGAAATCTCCCATCTGCCTTTGTTCTGTGACAAAGGAGAGATTATCACGTGCCCCGCTGGACTGTGCATTTCGTGGCTTGAAAAATCAGTGTGGTGAATGGTGCCACTCAGGCATTGGGACACTGGGGGAACGTTGGTTCTTGGCCACAGCATTGGACTTAATGACCAGGCAGGGAGGCTGCTGCTGGTGAAAACTTAACACCAGACCCTGTTGGTGTCTTTTGTGCTGTCATTCTGACTCCATGGCGTTTGGGGGAGAAGTCCTTTTGCTTCAGGAAAGATATCATCTTTTTCAATTTAAAACAAATGTTGTGGCCACTTTTGAGAAGAACTATATAGATCTATATAATTTCAAGATTTCAAGGGAGCAGATAATATATCCCATGTCCCCTTAAATTTAAGTTAAATCCAAGGCTTTGTTAAATGGGCATGGGAAAGTTACCTAGCAAATCCAGGATAGACGGTTTGACAAACGTATAGATTTTACAATATTTTAGAATCCAAGTTACTCATGCAACTTTCAAAGCTTTCCCCTTACTGGGAGACCAGGGCAAATCTTTTGCAATGCCAGTAAGTTGGCATCGTCACAAAACCTAGATTAGTTAACTTGGTCCTTTATTTCTTCAAAAAGAATTAAAAATAAAGCCACACTCTTGGAAATTAATAGTTAGAGGAACGTTTTTGGTCGCTGCTACCTTTGCAGTCCTGTAGGCAACTGTAGGTAGTTTGTGTTGAATCAAAAGTACGATCTTAGTGGAACTAAACAAGAATTCAGAACTAAATGACAGGTAAGGAAACAACGGGAGAAGAGCAATCTAGGAATCTCTCCTTTATTTCATTGCATATTAAGGATGCATAGAGGCAGCTGTGACATGTGGAAATTTACCAGTGTAACTTTTTGTATATTTTAGATTTATTCAAATCAAACAAATATAACAGTTGCAAGCAACAGCTCCTCCCAGAGTACCTCGACTGCTCCCAATCCAGCTAATACCACCACCACACCAACTGGCGGTGCTCTGCAGTCAACAGCCAGTCTCTTCGCAATCTCGTTCTCCCTTCTACAGCTCTACTGTTAAAAAAGACTCAGGCCAAGAAACATCTATAGTTCTCCATCTTCTAAACCCAATCCAAATGGCGTCTAGACATCCAGTGTGACAAGGAAAAACAGGTCTTCATCGTATCTGCTAATTCCACACCTTATTTTATTGACACCGAAAATGTTGAGGATCCCAAATTTGATTGGTTTGAAGAGCATGTGAAGGGTTTGACTAGATGATGAATGTCTGTCAAATCTGCTGGAGTTTCATGTACAAGATGAAGAGACAACATCCAAGATTAGTTAAGAAATAATTTCTTTAAATGTGGCTTAAGAAGTATGGACATGTAAAATTCTACCTTGAAAACGAGACTAGATTTTATCTTACCTAGATGTAAAAGATGAGATGTGAACATATTCAGTTTTCATTCGGTTCATTAAATCTTCAAGGCCATTGAAAACAGTTAATACAGAAAGCTTCCATGATTCTATTTATTCGTACATTAGAAGGAACTTCCAGGAGTTACTGTAAATCCTCAATGCATTGTTTCAGCAGTACTAACTTAATGCCTGTGTACTCTAGATAAAAAGTTTTACCTTGTTAAGCTATCACTGTTTCTTGGGAACTGAACTCTTTCCTCTGAGGCTTTGAATTTGATATTGCATTTGATTTTTTTATATAGTAATTGACATGTTTCAAGGCAATGATGGATTGGAATCTACCCCCGATTAAAGCATAATGAGTAAATTTTGCTTATATACTGATCACTTACTCTATTCAAGAGTGCCAGATTGATTTAGCTAAACTGATTCCAAAGAGCAGAGGAACATTAACCTCCGCTAACTTCAAAATGCTTTCCATTTCTGCATATGTTGAATACTTTTTGTAATTTAAAAAATGATCTGTTTTGAAGGTAAAATCAACAAATCTTGAAATTAAAAAGGCAAAATGTGTGCAGAAGCCAAAATTGTAAATCAAGTATTTGGGAAGTGAAGACTGGAAGCTTACATTAAATTTGGGAAAACTTTTATACTCTTTTCTGTAAATACTTTTTTTTTTTTTAAACTCTGAATCAGAATAGCCACATTTGGAACACTTTCTGTTAGTCAATATTTTTAGATAGTTAGAACCTGGTCCTAAGCCTAAAGTGGGCTTGATTCTGGCAAGTAAATCTTTTTACAACTTCCTCGATGCACAGAAAGCTTTTTAAAAATAGACACTCTAAGGTCTTTTGTTCGCATGGTCACACACTGATGCTTAGATGTTCCAGTATTTAATATGGCCGCAGTAGTCTTGATAACCAAAGTCATTTTTTCCCATCTTTAGGAACCTTTACCAGAACAACCATATTCAACAGATCTCAAGCTACTGTGTGTGTGAATGAACATTCCATTTTGTTTCATACCTGAATGCTGTACATCTATTTTGGATTGTATATTGTGTTTGTGTATTTATGCTTTGATTCATAGTAACTTCTCATGTTATGGAATTGATTTGCATTGAACACAAACTGTAAATAAAAAGAAATGGCTGAAAGAGCAATCTATTGAATTTTAAGGTTTTTATTTTTTTTTTTATTTTTTTTAAGAGGAGGGGAGGGGTTGGGGAGGGAGCAAGAGTTGGATGCTTAACCAACTGAGCCACCCAGGCGCCCCTATTGAATTTTAAGTGGTTGTAGGAGTCTATTTAAGCTATTAAGAATATATCCAGGGGCACCTGGGTGGCTCAGTGGTTTAAGCCTCTGCCTTTGGCTCAGGTCATGGTCTCAGGGTCCTGGGATCGAGCCCCGCATCGGGCTCTCCACTCAGCAGGGAGCCTGCTTCCCCCTCTCTCTCTGCCTGCCTCTCTGCCTACTGTGACCTCTCTCTCTCTGTCAAATAAATAAATATTAAAAAAAAAGAATATATCCGTATTTTCCTATTAACCAGAATGTTATAGTAGAGCTGTTTTGCATTGCATAGCAGCAGGAGGTTTTGACTAAAGAATTAATCTGAAAGTGGTCATCTTAAAGCTGGGAAGGAAGATTGTATACTCCCCTAGTTATTCAACAACTTGGGCTCCAGCTGTATTCCAGGGTACTGAAAATGGAATGCTGAACTTGCTGGGCAAGTTACTTTGGGAAAGAGAATGTATATGATGACAGATAAGCAGTATGTTGTCACTTAGTGCTGTGAGGCAAACCGGCCAGGGTGGTGAGTCAGGGGCTCTGGGCTGCATCATTAGGGATGGTCTTGGTGCCATTTCTGATGGAGGGAACATGTGCTAAGTTCCTGAGTCTGTTTAATTACTGGCACTGTTTCTAGATCTGCACTGAGGTCCACAAGACAACTTTGGTTTCTTTCCTAAGTTGTCACTTCTATCTGCTCCTTTCATATTCTAGAGTTCTTTGATCCTTCTAGTGTGTACTTGGACTCCTAGTTCTACCATCTTTATTGCTGGTCAGGGACTGCCAGAAAAGACAGGATGGAATTTGGGAGTAAGTGGGAACTAGTCTGCAGGTGGTAGTTTCCTCTTCAAGGAATCAGTTCTGTTAAGGCCTTTCAGCTGATGGAATCAGGCCCACCCAGAGTAGGAGAGTCTAAAGTCAACTGATAACAGACATGCTCTCTCTCTAAAATAAATAAATTAAAAAAAAAAAAAAGATATTTGTGTCCCATGTGAATATTCACCAAAAGATGACCTCAGCAGAGGAGTGTTTTAAAAAACTAGTGGATGAGATGACCCGTTCTAGGTGTACCAGTCAGCTTCATTCCCTGGCCATCGCTGTCATCACCCAGTGGGTTCATGAACAACATGGCCATGGTGGCAGGGATGGAGGTGAGGCACAGGTCCAGCAACAGGGCCTTGTGTTCAGCCTGACCCGACTACAGCCACCACTGAGTGCCCAAACTGCTGCAGCAGTGACCAACACTGATGCCCCCACATGGCACCACTCCTGGGAGCGGTCAGTCACATGGAATGTTGATTACATTGGACCACTTCCACCATGGAAGAAGCAGCATTTTGTTCTTACCAAAAAGACACTTATTTTTGGATATGGATTTGCCTTCTCTGCATATGTTTTTGCCAAAACGCTTGTGAATTTACAGAATACCTTATCCACCATCATGCTGATCCACATAATATTGCTTCCAATGAAGGAACTTGGCCAATGATGAGTGGCAATCGGCCCACATCTGTGTGATTCATTGGTCTTACCATTTTCCCTGCCATCCTGGAGCAATGGATTGATAGAATGGCCTTTTGAAAACTCAAGTGACAGGTCCAGGTAGGGGGCAATGTCTCAGGGCTAGGACTTTGAATTCCAAGAGGCTTTCTATGCTCTAACCACAGTGCTGTTTTTCTCCCATAGCCACAATTCGCACATCCAGGAATCAAGGCATGATGATGGGAGTGGCACCACTCACTATCATCTCTGTGATTCACTAGCAAAATGTATACTCCCTGTCCTTGAGAACTTGTGCTCTGCTGTCCTAGAGATCTTAGTTCTAAAGCAAGGAAGGCTTCCACCAGTAGACACAGCAGTGGTTCCACTGAACCAGAAGTTGAGATCGTCACCCAACCACTTTGAGCTCCACAAGCCTCTGAATCAACAAAGAAGGCAGTTACTCTACTGGGTAGAGTGATCTATCCTCACTACCAAGGGAAATTTGGGTTGCTAAGCGACAGGATGTCTGGAATAACAGAGCTGTTGAGGCATCTCTTAGTACTACCATGTCCTGTGATTGAAGTGAGTACAAAACTACAACCAAATTCAAAGGTTTAAGTCACCTCTCCAGGTTAAGAACCATGACCAGCTGAAGTGCTTGCTGAGGGCAAAGGAAATATGGAATGAATGATGGAAGGCAGCTATAAAAACCAGCTATAGCCATGTGACCAGTTGCTGAAATGAGGACTGTGAATTATATTTCTTCCTCATGTTTGTATATACTCACATGCAAAGAGCAAATTTGTTTTCTTCCCTCATCATCTAATGTTATGTACTAATAACAGTAAACTTTGTATCTCAGCATTTATGTGGGTTATCAAGACGGGTGAGCATGACCCAGAGTTTGCATCCTCTTCTAGGGGAAGGGTTGAGATCATGACCTGAGCCGAAGGCAGCGGCTTAACCCACTGAGCCACCCAGGCGCCCAGGATGGTGCTTTTTGAAACAACGAAGTCTCTGCCATGGTTTGCCTTTCAGTGTCTCTTCCAATTACATCTAAACTTGAAAATCGGTGCATTTCTAAGAACCTTGAGAAAGTTTCCATATTTGTGATTTTGCAAAGAAATACCTCTGTGAGCCCAAAGGGTCTGACGCGGTTTCGCTGTCGTGCTTCTCAGCTACTGGCAGGCGCTAAGGTGTGAAGGAACTGGACATGTCCAAGGCTGAACTCATTACCATCCCTCCACAGACCTGCTGCTTTTCTATTCAGAGCACCTGCCTGCCAAGTCGCTTTCGTTCTAAGCCTCGGAGATTTTTCCTCTTTCCCCACCTCCAGTCAGCCCCAGATCCTGTTACTTCAAGTCAGAAATGTCTAGGCGACCCACCTCTCTTCTCCCTCCCCCTGCCTTCTTCTGCCTCGCATCATCTGTTGAAGCTCTGCCTTCCCGTCCTTCCCTCTTTTTTTTTTTTTAAATTTTTTTTATTTATTTGACAGAGATCACAAGCAGGCAGAGAGGCAGGCAGAGAGAGAGAGAGAGGGAAGCAGGCTCCCTGCTGAGCAGAGAGCCCGATGCGGGGCTCGATCCCAGGACCCTGAGATCATGACCTGAGCCGAAGGCAGAGGCTTAACCCACTGAGCCACCCAGGCGCCCCCCTGTCCTTCCCTCTTAGCGTTTCCACCTTGTGCCTCTTCTCTGAAACGTGGATCTGATCGTTGTGTTCCTCACTTTACAAGTTTGGCTGGCTACCCTTCGCCTATAGAAGGTAAAATAGAACCCCCCCACTCGCCCTGTCCCAATTCATGGTCCTTAGGCTTTTCACAGTCTGGCCCCAATTCAACTTTATTTATTTATTTATTTCACAGAGAGAGACAGATCACAAGCAGGCAGAG